CAAATAATCTTACACATTCTGAAAACAAGATTATTATTCTTACACAATCAGTTCTTGTTTAGTAAATCAGTCACAAAACAAGATCAAAAAGACTTTTTGGCTGATATAAGATTTTAAAACTTGGTTAGATGGACAGTTTTTGCAGTGTACACATCTGAGCTGTTTTTAACAAATGTTTCAAGTTTTGAAAAACCTCCGACAGCTATACAGCTCCTCACATCATCAGTGTCCCACTGATTAGTTGCGTTTACAGAAAAATCCGATTGCCCTGTACGGTTAAATGTGACGGTACAAGCTCTCTCAGGTCATTTTCTCTTTGACTGAATCGTCTCTAAACACATGCACAAAATCAGAGAACGGCTGAGGGGCCAGACCATTTGCAGTTGTGTAGACAAGACACAAATGACAAAATAATTTGAATTTCCAAAGCTCCAAAACATTTCTCTTGAATCCTACAGTTGGTGGTAGTGTTCTGGCTTTTTATCCAAAGCTTTCAGAGTCTGTTTAAAGAGMGATCTTAGAAGACCATCACCAGCCTGACCCCAACAGGTGACACAGTACATGTGGGTTACAATCATGGCATGCATTCATGTCTTAGCTGCATCAAGTGAGAGATAATGTCTAATATATTTAATATTTTTAAGATTGGGTTTAATGACTTTGCTCATATTCTTAACATGTTTCTTAAAATTCAAATTTGGATCGAGGGTACGCCCAAGATATTTAAATTTAATGAATTATGTTTAAAAATTCCCCTTTAATTGAAATGTCAGTTAGGAGACTGTACCATGGGTTTAAAAAAAACACACATATTTGTTCTTCTTTACATTTAAGAGTCAGACGTCTGATCAAGCCAACAGGTGATCCTTTGCAGAGCAGCTGTTGATTTAGCAGATACTTGTTTTAGCGTGTACATAAGAGAGAGCATAAAGATGACCCGGTCTGTGTGACCACTTTGTTACACGAATATCACTGTAGTCATCATGAAGGCATGGATCCACCTTAACATTGATTATGTGACTCACAAGATGGAAATCATTTCAGCCAACTAAAGCATACAGGTCAAGAAATGACATATATGTTGCCATTTAACGAACATTTTATAACGTTATTGAATGTTTGTGTTTTTACAAAAGAGTAAAGAAAGCTACAATTATGTTTCAAATTTGGATGAATATGCAGAATATGTGTTTAATCAAACTATCTTTGCCTTCCATTCTAATAATCCAGTTCTCTGTGACATACAGAGACACGTCACTTAACTAGGGGGGCACCTGGGGTGGCAAATCAGGTATCAGGAGGGGTATTTGCCCGCCCAGCCACCAATCTGGCTCCGCCCCTAATTACACTGGCTGCAGTAACTCGACGTCTGAGCCGATCAAATGGTAAAGAATTAATATTCTTAACAATTCATTTTAACCCACTTTGTTGTTTGTTTTGTGGAAATTCACAGTTTTTGTGTTGTTTTAGGACTGTTTTAATCTAAAAGTTTTTCTCTTGTGGAGAAAAKTTTTATTTTCTGGKTATGGTTGCAGAAAAGGTTCAGATTCTGTAAGTGTGCTCCCAGATCAGAATATAATGTGTTTTAATGTGACGCGTCAGGCTTGAATCTGTTTCCTGTGAACTGTATTTCTAACTTAATTTTATTTTTTTCTGATTTTATCTCTCTTTAAGTTATTTTCTGACCCACACACGTACAAGTGCTACGTTCCCTACGCCTTCCAACTGTTTCACTTGTATAAATGTGAGCGGATAAGAGGAGGGACATGCAGGCTTTCTATTGTTTTGCAGTCATGTCCCCCTTCCAGCCGGGCCTGACAGATGAGGGGGAGAGGGTCTTAAGGCTTTGAAAAGTGATTAATAATGACACAGGAGAAGGGCCCCGATTGCCTGGGCTGTTTGTTTTGATTGCATTTTCATCGGTCGGTGTGCCCAACCTGCCAAGAGACAATAGCCGTCCCTGTTTAGTGCTGACCTCTGCTCCCGTCTCGTCTGGAGGCGCTGCTCTGTGTTTAAGTGGACGCTGAGCAGCCTTTGCCTCTGGCTACCTGAAAAACCTGTGAGTAACCAGACACCCAGCAGCAGAAAAACTGCAGCGAGAAAACAGGACAAAGCACCCAACCAAGTGGAGTCACTGCAAAACAACTTTTGACTTTTCCCACTAATTAACCTTAAASTGGGGCTTAAATTGCACAATTACAACAAAGTTTGCTTTAATTGTGTCACACGTATACGTTTCTCACATTTCTGGTTGTTTGGAATTAACAAAGGTTTAAGGGATTCAAAGGAATATTGGGGTTTTGTGGAAATTGCACGAACAGTTAGCGTCCCACCTGTTTCAAAACGCTTTTTGTCTGACTTTTGTTTGGAGAAATAGAGTTAACTCTGACTGGTGACCAAATAACTAGTTCAAATTCAATGTTTATTCAAAATTGCAAAGTTGTAACACAGCCTGGGGTCAGCTCTGACTCGATTTTTCGAATATTTCAGGCAAACGGACGGTAATTCAAAGCTGACAGCGTTGTAGCTTTAAACAGAAGATTTGCTCCAACAACCAGTGGTGGGCACAGCTAACCAAAAACTTAGTTTAGTTTAGTTTATTAA